TGAACATAAAAGAATATAGTGCCCTGATTGATCCAAGTTCAAAACTTGTAAAGAATGTAGGAAGAGTGATTGCTCAACTTGAATATGTTAGTGCTATAGGAAGTCTAATGTATGCAGTTCAATGCGCAAGACCGGATATAGCCTATGCAATAAGTAAACCTATAGGTTTACTAGCAATCCAAACAATGATCATTGGAAGGCTATTGAGAGAGTTCTTGACTATCTAGAGAAAACTAAGAACTTAAGTTTTCAATATACTAAGTTCCCGACGGTATTAGGAGGATTTACTGATGCTAGTTGAATATCTAGCAAGGGTGAAAGTAAATCTACATCGGGTTGGGTGTTCACTCTAGGAGGATGTGCTATTTCTTGAAAATAAAAATAAAAAACAAACATGCATAATACACTCGATCATGGAATCAGAATTTGTAGCCTTATAGGATATCGGGAAAGAGGCTGAGTGGTTTAAGGATCTCTTTTATGAGATACCTTTGGGATCGAAAAATATTTCTTCAATACCTATCATGTGTGATAGTCGAGCCACATTAGCAAAACATACAATGAGGTATACAATTGAAAGTCTAGACATATGAGTCTTAGACTTGACTACATAAGGAAATTAATCAAAGATGAAATAATTTTTTTAAATTATGTAAGGTCAATTGAAAATTTGGCGTATTCTTTGACTAAACCTCTAAATAGAAATTTAGTAAAATCTACTTCGAATAGCATAGGGTTGAAACTCCTTAACTAAAAGTCTACCAATGATAGCAACCCTACCTGTCATTACTCAAAATGTAATACACGGGTTCAAAGGGTAACAACAAGTCATTTGATATGTGGATAGTTATAGCATTATTCAAAACCACAATGATCCTATCCTAATTAAAATAATGCTGGTTGTTACTGAAATGAAGGTTGGGTGTTAAGCTTTTAATGAAGTTTAGTACTCAAACACAAGCACCTCTAAAAGTAACAAATGTATTGGAAAAACTTTACTTAAATGAACTTCGAGTGGTGCCGCCTCAATAGAAAGTTGGAGTTTCTCTCTTAAAAGTTTGTTGGATTGGATGAGTGCGAGGCCATTAAAGCGCTAATCGAGTAATGAGGAACTTGAGAATATGTGGTATTCGTCTGTGTATTCTTACTGTATTGTCACATGAAATACTTGGTTCAAAACTTCACGCTACCTTGGATTTCGACCTTACTTTGTTTGAATTACACTATAGTTATATTTAAATTAAAAGATATACAATCCTTATACATAAGTATTTTATAAATTTGAATATGAGAACTTGTTAATTTTGAACAAGTGGGGAATTGTTGAAGTGGTTGTTCAAAATCAACCATATGTGAAATAAACGGAAGGGAAAAAAAGGCTCCATAGGTTTTTAACTTAAACCATGCAACCGCATAGACATAATACCCATGCATTCGCATGGGTACTTACTGAAACTTGAAGGCCCTTGTGCGGTTGAACCATCGGATCGCATGGTATAAACAAAGTGACTGTTGGTGGCAATTTCCAAACATTGGAAACTCGAATTTGGTGGCCTTTCATGCATAATTTGGCGCTATTTTGTGTATATGGATGAGGTCTATATATAGTGGAGCAATGTTCAAGCCAAGATAATATAGAAAAACACCTTGAGATTTATTCCAATTCACATAAAAGATCATCTACCAATTATCCTCTCATATTTATTTTGTTTATTGTGTTCTA